CTTCGGACACCTGGCTGGATTCACAAGGGGTTAGGGCTTAGGGCTTAGGGCTTTGGGGTTCTGGTTTGTGACCTCCGAAGATCAGTGCGGCTTGGGTCGCAATGCTGACTCAGAGGTAGCTCTGGTCCATACCGTTTAAGAAGAGGTGGAAGCCTGAGAGCGAGTTTAGGGCTCGGTGTTTAGGGGTTTCGGGTTTTAGGGTTTCGGGTTTAAGGTTTAGGGTTTTAGGGGTGAGCATGTCGGAGACTTTTTTGTTGCCGCGCTGTGTGGAATCCGTCGGCCGTTTTCAGAGCGACGAGTCCGAGGCCCGTTCCGCCGTCACCCGCCTTCCGAGTTCCGAGGCGCGCCGCCATGTTTCAGCAGCAGCCAGAGGCAAAATTTCTCTATGAGAAGTCCCTGGCGGCTGGCCCATAACGACCGTCATCGACGCCTTCGCCCACTTGGCTTGTTATGGCACAAACCCAGATATTGATGCGACCCGAGCTCGCAAGGCGGTGAGCCGGCGGCTAGTGGAGCTCTGGGCCTCGCAGCCGGCGGAGGCCGAGGCCTGGCTGAAGCAGTGCCGGGAGCGCTTCGCGACGGAGGTCGCAGGCAAGGAGCCGAGGCCGGAGGAGCTCAAAGAGGCGCTGCTCCGGCACGGGGCGGCCGAGTGGGGCAAGTACGGGCGGTACTACCGCTTCTCCGAGGCCGGGCTCCTGCGAGGAGAGCCGTGCCGTGCAGCAGCGGAGCGGGAGAGCTGGGCGGCTGGGTACCTGCAGGAGTTTCCCCTCATCCGCGACCGCTGCCGGGAGCTCGCGGAGCGGCTCCTGGCGGCCGAGAGCCCGGAGACGGCGCGGAAGCGGCAGAAGCTCGAGGAGGAGACCTCCGAGCGCCGGCGCCTCGAAGCGGAGCTCCACAAATCGCAGGAGGAGTGTCGAGATCTTTGTGATCGCCTGGCTGCGGCGGAGGCGGAGGTGCGCAGCGCGCAAAGCGAGAGTGCAGGCTTCAAAGAGCAGCGCGAAGAGCTCGCAGCTCGCGCTGCAGCTGCGGAGTCAGCCGTGACAGACATGCGGCAGGAGCTCGGGCAGCTGCAGGACGAGCATGGCAAGTGCCAGGAGCGTTATGAGGAGCTCGTGGCTCGGTTGGAGGCAGAAGCAGCTGAGCATGCAACGACCAAGGAGCGTCTCTCACAGGCCGAATCCGATGCTGCGGAGAGGAAGGTGGAGCTGCAGCGGCTGCAAGAAGAGAGTCGCGGCTACCAGGCAGAGCCTTTCTTTTCGGCAGGCGATGCGGGGAGCAAGGCGGAGCTGCTGCTCCAGAAGGCGGTGTTCCAAGACCGCTGCGACCAGCTTCGGCAGCAGCTTTCGAAAGCAGAGGTCGAGAGATCGGTGATGCTCGGTCAGATGCAAGTTTTGTGGGAAGAGAAGGGCATGTACAAGGAACGCGCTCGTGAGCTGGAGAAGCAGCTTCTTGAGGTGAAGGAGTCCCATCATCTCAACTCCGGTCACACCCCGCATTGCCAAGCTCCTGTCGACGAAGCCTCCAACAGCCAGGATCCAGATCTTGCCGAGCAGCTGGGGTACAGCTTCGTGGATGACGACGGCACATCCTCTTCGGTCTTGAGCCGCTCCTCTTGGTTCTCTGTGAAGCCGGACTCCGTGAAGCCGCACTGCTTCATGTTGGACGCCATCTTCAAGACGCGCAGCTACGGCGCGGACTTTTTCTTGATGGGAAGAGACCTCAAGAAAGGTTCGCAGGTGGTGGCTGGAGATGACGCATCTATCCTAGAGGTGGTCAAGACGCCGGAGATCTGCGAAGCCAGCGAGGTTGTGGAGTTGCAGGCAGGCACTGCAACCTTGCGGGTGACTGCAGACCACTTGGTGCAGGTCGGCGATGCACAGGGCGATACGGAGGAGAGCCTCTACCTTGAAGCTGGCAAGCTGAAGGTGGGCGACCTGGTCATGCTCGACTCCGGCGAGCTGGTTGCCCTCAGCAGCGTCGTCCTTTGGCCGATGGTTTGCCATGTGCTGAAGATCGTTTTTGAGCCCTGCATGCCCGTGGCCGTCTTCTCTCGCCCCACCTGCATCCTCAGCCTGGGCCACAAGAAGAAGCGGCCCATTCGTCGTGGTGGACGAAGCCGGGAAGGTCCGTCTCCCTCAGATGACAGCATGGACGGCGGAGTTTCTGTCCCCATCACGGCAGGTGAGTACATGGACTAGGCCCTTGGCTGATGATGTGTATAGATGGGGCTCGAAGCATCCCCCGATTGCAGTTTTTGCGAATTCACGGACTCCGGCGATGTGTGGTCAAGGAGGTCAGCGCACCGCCACCTAGGCATGCCTGTGCCGGACTCTTCTTGGCTTGTCGCTGGATTCGCTCGAGCGTGCAGCGCACGTGACCCCCACTTTACATGATCAAACACATTGCCCATGTGAGCTGTGAGCCTGCATGGTATCATGTTGTAACCGTTTTATGGAAGCTGGGGCGTGGGGTTGCAGGAGACGGTTAGCCGCACGAAGCGCCGATGTTTAGTGGGGGTTGCTGTGCCAGCAGAAGAGCTCGTGGCAGTTGAGTCTGCTCAGAAGATTGCAGGCCAGAGCGCTTCCACCCAGATCCAGGTTTAGGTTGGACCGCTCGCACGTCAAAATGTCGAGAAGCTTGTCCCATCCTTGCTCTCTGCTGCATGTCCAGAGCTTTCCATGAACTTGCATCGCGGTCGTGCTTTTTGTTGTTAGAACTTCTGTTCGCGAGAGGGCTCTGGTATTTTAGCTGTTGCTTCAGGGGTTAGGCTCGGGATTTAGGGATTCATCATTGGTTTATAACTTTATGACTCTCCGGCATTGGCGATTGCCCCCCTAATCCTAAGCCCTTAAACTGAAACGGAAACAGGAATCATGGAGACGTGATTCATGGACCCCTCTCCTACTAGTAGAGTCAGGATGATAGAAGGGATCCTCTTGCTACGGCCCTTGGCCCTTAAAGATAAGGGGTTTATAAATCAGGCTTCCTTAAACCCTAAACCCCTAAACC